CTGTGGCCTATACCTTGGTCTTTATGCTTCAACAGCTGTTCTGAAGTCAGTGGAAATTCAGTCGTGTCACTGCAGTTTGGATAGTCTTAGAATTTAGCCGTTAATATCACATAGAAACTCGCTTCCACCACCATAAAGTATATATGTTTCTCATAATTATGACTTAATATCTTATAATAATGAGACAATTTTGAGAAAAATGAGAAAATATGTCATAATTATAAGAAAGTAAGTAATGATTATGAATTATTAAGTCATAATTGTGACATAGTAAGTCATGCACACTTAAAGATGGTTCTTCAAGGGTTCTTTTGAAAAGAAAATGGTTCTAGGTACAACCATAAACACTCAAAGAACCCTTTGCATTATTAAAATTAAAAAGGGTTCTTTAGACTGATGGAAAATGTGTTGTAGATGGTTCTATATAGAACCTTTTTGACAAAGCACCAAAAAGGATTCTGCTGTTGTTACAAGCTTAACACTGAAACACTAGAAGAATCTTTTTTGGTGCTGTATAGAACCCTTTTCAAAAAGGTTCTACATAGAAAACATCCAAAGCACGTGCTCCATCAATCTGAAGACGCTTTCACATTGCATTGCACATTGTAAGACAGCAAGCCATAATTATGAGATAGTAATTCTTAATTATGAGATATTAAGATGTAATCATAAGACAGGATGTTATTATTTAAGCAATAGAAGACAAGAGGGAGTGTGTTATCGCGAAATAACGGCTGTGATTTGGTCGCAGGCACAAGCCGAAGGTGTGATGTTATTCGCGATAACACATGACCTTGAGTGTTCTATTGCTTTTATACAACAGTTAAATAAAGTAAGAAATAAATAAATTGGGCCGTGAACATGTCATTTAATATGTTTTAATGTTAGCAGTTCCTTCCACCAAATTATAGTTCCTTAAAAAGCAGCTTGCTGCTATGTCAGAGTAACGAGCTCCGCTCACTCGCTGCACAGCCAGCGGTTTGTTCTCCAGCTCCAAACAGACCAACTGACAGTTTGGGAATTTAGTGTAGTCTCATCAGAGTCTGACCAAATCGGCTGTAGGTCAAATGTGATCTTAAAAGTATCCATTTTCTGTTTGTGGCAAAGTAAGAAGTAAAAACATTCAAATGGCTTGAGCCTCTCCTACAGCTGTCAAAGTCATTGCTTAGCAACGGCGTCTCAGCGGAGTGATACAGTGTTTGTAAAAAAAACTGATGTTATGGCGAAATAACAGCACGGTTAGAATGCTTCTCAACCAATCAGCTTGCGTGGCTGGAACTAACTGTTGTATAATATAAGATAGCAAGTCATAACTAGCTATGTGGTTGCTTTGGTATCCCAGGTGGTTGCTAGGGTGTTGTGATGCAGTCGTTATGGCATTCCAGGTGGTTGCTAGAGGGTTGCTATTTGTTTGCTGGAAGTTGCTATGATATCTTAAATGGTTGCTAAGATGTTACTAATGGATTTGTATCATCGAGATATAAGCTGGTAGCTGTATACAAGCAAACTATTCATACAACATACAACACACTATTCGATGATTGATGTCGAAAAATCAGGCAGAAAAATAAGAAACAGGAAGAATAATATAAATCAGAATAGTGTTTGCCATCTGCCATCACTAATTATGAGATACTAAGTCATAATGATTGGAAACATTTTAATTATTATGACTTACTAAAAGTGGTGGAAATGAAATGGGCTTTCTCCGTATCAGCACTGCGCTGCTTCTGCATCAACATTCATAATTGGACATAAACAGGGAAAAAACCCTTCCCAAACTACCGGGGTCCCACGCACACAGTCGTGATGTTTAGTGGTGGGCAGAACAAAGGCCAGGGTTTGGTCAGGTATTATTACAGAGGAGCAGGAACTGAGTGAAAAGAGGAGAGGGAAGGGATCGTATGATACTCTCCCACACACACAGACACAGAAGTGCTTTATCAGTTGTTGTCCTGGATGTTCAAAGCAACAAAAGCCTTTGTTTTTGTTCACTAAACTATTCTACGTGTGATTATAACATGCTACTTACACCTTTCTGGTGATAAGAACATGTTTGGATTTCCTGACCATGTGTAAACACACCCAGGAGTTTGGCTTGCAATCTGGTTTGGATAGCAAGTACACTTGCGCAAAAGCTAATTTGGCTGAAGGTTTAGTAAGTTACAGATCACGTTTCTTTAAAACTTACCAAAACTTTTTTCTGAATTAGCTTTCATGTGCATGCAAAAAATGACCATTGTTGTTTGAGTTGTTTGACTTACAAACTCAAAATATGTTGATACTAATTAAACAAATTTTGTTATCTTTAGGTATCTGGTTTGCATAAAATCGACAAAAATGAATGAAAGCACAATTCAGTGAATGAAAACTGATTCTTTTGATCTAAAGAGACTTTCATGAAATCAAAATAAATTGCATTGAAATGCTTCAATTATGTTCCATCAACAATTAAACTTTACGCTGAGGCAGCAAAGTCTGTGTGCAGTGACTCTACTCCATTTGATTGAATGGAAATATGAGGCATAACTGAATTAGGTTCATACAACAATTAATTTTTGGATGCAGACATGCTGCAGACATGCTGCTGCAGTGATCACCATCGCATATCCTATGAAGCTTATGTCTTCAACATGGTAACTTCAAATCATTTCTAATTTAACTCATTTAACCGTAATATTATGAGATTTTATTCCAAGTAAATTTGCATCATTTCTTTTGGTGCATTCATCATGAAATGTTCATACAAAGTTTAGAGCAGTTTTCAAAGCTTCAAGCAGGGGTCGGCAACCCAAATGTTAAGAACAGCCATTTTGTGCTTTTAACAAAAATCAAACCACCTTGGGAGCCACAACATTTAATGTCCATTTTACCATCTTGGCCATAAATATGTCTTAGTACATGCTAATGTCCTAGTGTAGGCTAAAAAAATAATGTAAATGAAAACGCATACTTTCGTTGCTCTGCTTTAAGCTTTAGCTCAGCTATAGCTGTTTTTCTCACATCTCTGGCAGGAAGCTTTTCCACAAAAGTAGAACAGTTTCTTGTAAAATGTCTCTCAACATTTGACTTATTTGAATTACAAAGTCAGCTTCTCATTCACCAGCTTCTTGTTTGAAATTTCCCCTTCCACCTTAAATGGTGCCTGAGGTGCCAGAATGTAACTGCCGCACCATTAAAGGTGGAACGGGAAAATTCGAACAAGAAGTTGGTGAATGAGAAACTGACTTCAGCTATGCAACTTTTCAGTGTTTGGCCGTTTCTCTTTACAGATTAAACGTATCAGGAAACCAGCTAGAGTGGTTATAAACACAAATAAGTCCATGACGTTTTTGATTTTCTATGTGAAAATAAGTCATCACATCCTCTACAAAGAACACACTTAAACATGACATTTTTTCACATTTTACTGCACAATTTCTGTTCGAGTTTAACATACTGGACGAAATAAAACGTAAAATGTGCCATAACTTATAAAGGTGCAGAAGATTTAGTGGCATCTAGTGGTGAGGTTGCAGATTACAACCAACTGAATTCCCCTCCTTCACCCCTCCCTTTCCAAGCATGTAGTAGAACCTATGGTGGACGTCAGGTTTTCTGCCATCGTCTGTCCCGATTTCATTTTGCTTCTTCATGTTTTTGCTTCGTTGATGATGATTCACCCTCTCTCACGCTTTCTTGTGCTGAATAATAAGTCTGATCCTCCATTTGTCAAAATTTGGCTTCTCAAACTTCTCACAACACAAGATGGTCAGTCAGCACCAGCAGCAACCACTGATTCTTCTTCTTTCTATGTCTTCCAATCGAAGCTACAGCGCCACCAAATTCAAACTGCTGCTTCAATGCAAAAACGTAAAAGGCACCCTCTGGAGCCAGTGTTTGATATGTCCATTCTGAGCCACTGTTGAAACATGCTGGCGCAAATTGGCAGCCTCTGTTGGAAGAGGAGCTGCTCCCTATGTATATATGAAGGGCTCATTCTAAGATAACGAAAACACGATTCATTCTTACAGGTGATTATACACTAATGAAAACATGGTTTTGTATAATATATTAATTTCTGCTAATAGATCCCCCTCAATCTTGCACACTGCACCTTTAATCCTGTTCTGCTTTACTGACAATCACTCCTCTCAGAGCTTTAGCATTTTATTTTACATCAAAAAAATCCTAAACAGAGAAGAATAAGTCGTTCAGACTTCAGTTTCTCTGCTGATAGATGCTGGAGGAAGTAAGAAGTTCCACTGCAACTCAGGACGGGGGAGAAATTCTCTCTTAGGTGGTTGAGATGTAAACAAAGTCATTCAAAGTGGTTTGGTGTAAAAAGCGTCCACCTCTAATAGCTTACTCACAGAAAGTTACTGCATGCATGAAATGGTTAAGAATGTCTTATGTCTGATGTCTGAGACACTGTTTTCCGATAGTTTTGAGAAGATTTTGGCCTTTTTCAATATCCATTGTTGGTGAAGGGGTGCATGCAGGGTGTTGTGAGATAAAATAGTCCCCAAAGAAAACTTATTATTTCAGATTATTTCAGATTTTACCATCATCAACAATCCATATAAAACTCAGAAGACATGTGTAGGTTCACTGGTGGTTTTGGATAGTAAATAAAATGTCTACATTTGTGTTGTAGTCATAGTGACCCCTGGTTCCTATCACCACCACTGTAAAGACATCTGAATCATTTCACACCAAACCATTCTGAATCACTCTGTTTACATCTCAACAAACTGTGCAGAAATGTTGGCGGAGTTCCGCTTCAAGTAGTTTTTAGAGCTGCTGTTTTGTACCCTGTTCAGGTTTTTGGAGTGGTACGTCATTATTTCACACTTTTACTGGAGGATGAGTTTAGGATACTCTGCATCAGAGCCTTTAGAGCCTTAGTGAGTTCTATATTTAGGATACTGAGCCTGTATTGCTGTAGTTGGTAATTAGCTCACAGTAGGTGACTGTGTGTAAGCTGTGAACTGATGTGTCTCTGTTTTTTTTATTTTCAGATATTCACACCATTTGTTCTCCTCTGCACCTCACAGATGCACGGAATCAACCACATCAGCGCTTCTGTTTCCAGAGGATCTAAGGCTTGTTTGTTAATGATGTGTAGCAGAAGGTTTTCAGACACTTTCCAACAGTCTGTTTATTCATAGTTTTCCAGACTGACAATCATTTGTTTGTTTGGTCCCTGAATGGCTGACAGACAGATCAGGTGAGATCTCCTGCAGGGAAGGGCTTGTGCTGATACTCAAAACTGTGTTTCAGGTTTAATTAGAGTAGTTTGCAGAGGTGTGGACTCGAGTCATATGACTTGGACTCGAGGCTGACTCGAGTCACGAATTTTGTGACTTGAGACACGACTCAAGAAAATCGAGAAAGACTTGCGATTCGACTTTGACTTCAACACCAGTGACTCGGATTCTGACTCGGACCTCAGCCTTATGACTCGGAAAGGCTCGAGACCCAAAGTGGAAGAAAGAGTGAAGAGTCTGACTGCAGGCGGGACTCTACACATTCGATTATTTTTCATGCAAATGGATTCGTTTCCTACCGTAAATCTGATAAACAGTAGCGTCGTCAGATAACTGTTACTGTACTTTTGCTCAGTTTATTTTATTTCGGAAGACAAGAGAAACGTTAGAGCTCAAGCAAAAGCAAGTCAACTTCAGCTCCATACATTCATCATTTTATTGTCTTTTCTGTAAACTTCGTTCAGCTCAGTCGTTTTGGTTTCTGTTGTCGTCTAAATTCAATTTAAACTAGCGGCTGTTTTTAGTTGGCTGAACTAGTTTTAGTGCTGAGCTAGTTTTTATTTTAATCATATGCGCCCAGTGTTGCTATAAATATAAAGGTTTTTTTTTTATTTAACTTCAGTAGTACTTTTTAAAAATTCTTTTCATGTGTAGTTGCACTACTCTTGTGTATACACAGGGAGGGGGGAGTAGCTAAGTAGCTTTTGTAGTTAACTACAAATGTTTGTTGCTAATAGCTGTAGCTGCCACAGTTTTATGAAATGTAGCTAATAGCTGTAGCGCTTACAAATTTATGTGTAGCTACAGCTAAAATTTTCGCTACGGGCTTCAGGCAATCTGCACAAAATCTGAACCACAGAACGCGGTCGTTAACTGGGCTGATGGCGATTGTGCAGAAATGACTGAGTCGCGGACAGCTCGAGCAAAAGGTCATGCACTGGACCCATGTGCTGATCACCCCTTACTAGTAGGCTTAGCTCAGGGGTCGCAACCGAAATGTTAAGAAGAGCCATTTTGTCCTTTCAACAAAAATCGATCCACCTTGGGAGCCACAACATTTTATGTCCGTTTTACCATCTTGGCTGTAAGTAAGTCTCAGTATATGTTGATGTGCTAGTACAGACTAACAATTAAATAAACACAAACACAGACTTACTTTGCTCTGCTTTAAGCTTTAGCTCAGTTGTAGCTGCTTTTCTTGCATCTCAGGAAACTTCTCCGCGAGTTTCTCAACATTCGACTTTTTACGAGGCTGAAGTCACTTTTCATTCTCCTGCTTCTCGTTCGAATTGTCCCGTTCCACCTTAAATGGTGCCTGAGGTGCCAGATTGTACAGCCGCGCCACTTAAGGTGGAATGGGACAATTCGAACGAGAAGCAGGAGAACGAGAAGCGACTTCAGCTTCGCGAGTTGTTGCAGATTAAACATATCAGGAAACCAGGTGAGTGCTTATAAATACAAATAAGTCCATTCATCTCCAAATTATCGATGCTTGTCTTAAATCTTTCTCTTTGCCATTTCGTTATCTGCGTTGCTGTGTGACCAGCAGTCTGCGCGTCAGTCTTCAGCATTAAAGGTTGGTGAATTAGCAGTTACGCATTAACTCGAGCTTTTAAGACCATTTATTGTGAAAACTGTGTAAGAACAGTGTTTTATAACGATTTTACAGCAAATGAGGATTATGATATTTTACCTAAAAATCTAGTTCTGCTGTGGAGCCGCAGCAGCTCTGCAGCAGTGGATAGATTATTCAGGCCTGATTCTCACCCCAAACAGAGGCTAAAGTGTTACTGAAGTTTAACAAAGGACTCTGAATGTCATGTCTGTACAGATTTTGCTGAAATGTTTAAATTGGAGCAGTTTTATTTTAACAGTTGACAATGCTTTGCAAAAAAATCGTTTGGTCTGTATTTGTTTATTTTTGTTGATTTTTGTTAGGAAAAACCTGGAATGATTGACTTTTACCCTTAATTAGTCAAAAAAATTTTGTTGGATATTGTTGGACGCCTTTGTTGTTTGATTGTTGGTTACACTTACACTCACTTTTTGGTGATCTTTTTGTATATTTGCAGCTTTTCAATTGTAAGTTTATTTCTGGCACATGATTAAATGCAGTGTCTTGTTCACACTTTCATTTGGGCTTGTTTGGTGTGTCAGGTGGAGATTCACAAACATTCTGACAATCGCGCTTTGAAAGTAGCTAAAAAGTAGCCACTACTTTTTCTGGAAAAGTAGCTAAATTGTAGCTGCTACAAATTTTGGGAAAGTAGCTACAAAGTAGCTAACTACTAATTGTTCAGTAGCTATCTCAACCCTGTGTATACAGTATGCTTATCATGGTTATCTGTGTACCATAGATTTTGTATTTTAGTTGGAAGGGTTAAATAAATAAATAAACAAATAAATAAATAAAATACAGCCATACCCTGTATGACTTGGGACTCGACGTGAGACTCGCCTGTGCTGACTCGGGACTTGAATCGAGACTCGACTCTCTTGGCTTGGGACTTGAGTGTCAAGACTTGAGACTTACTTGTTACTTGCAACTTAGTGGCTTGTTCCCACCTCTGTTAGTTTGTGTACAGTCAAAAGAGGTGCAGTTCATTTATTAATTTGTTGATTTTCTAAGTGAAAATATGATGCTTTTTTTTCAAATTTTAGAGTTCAAATTCAAATTTTCAAATTTGAAACTCAAAAGCATGTAATCTGACCAAACTTGAATGTGCAAAGTCTTAGGCCATGTGAGAACATGATATATAAGTTTAATGTTTGAAGAAACATTATCGTTACAATAAATACAGAAAGCAAGATGGCTAGTGTTTACAGTGACAGACTGTTGGTGGAAACTGTAAATACTGGCCTCCTTTTCCACCTTGTAATACAAACATAAGCAAATCCTTGTGATGGCTGGAGAGCAGTGAGAAGTCAGAAAGAGAACCGGTTCTTCTGAACCTACATATTCATAACTTTACTGAAAACACACACTGTTTTTACATTTTACTATATTTATGCTTATTTGTGTTTATTCTGATGTTATATAGTGTTTTGGCAAAAATTCACTCAATGACCGAAAACAATACTTTTGCACATAACTGTATGTGTATGAATTTAAGACTCAGGGAACGTATTACAGAAAATTCTTGTCTTTTTGTCTTAAGATCTGACAGATCAAGATTTTTCACAAATTCGTATTACAGAAGCAAATTTGATCTTAATTTAGAAATCTTATCTTACAGCATCTTGTCTTAAGAAATCAACAAACAACTGTTATGTCTGTTACTTAGCAACCAACTATACGCGCACAGCTGAAACATGTAATCAAAGTAACCAAGCTAGTTAGCCAGACAGCATTAGCTACCGTTACTGATGTAAAAAAGGTCAAACAAAACTAAAGCATTATAAACTTGAAGACTTGAGAGCGTCCCCTGCTGTTTATCAGAGCATTGTCGCTCCCCAGTTTCATTTCCCAAACGCTGTAGCCGAGCGCGCTAACGTTATTCCTCCTAATTAACAGACACACATTCAGCTCTGTCTCCTCATTATTCACCACCATCACTGGAATATTTTATCATCAACATTAACACATGAAGGTAATAAGATGGGGCGGTGGAAATTGTGTGTCTTTAGAGTCTGAGATTTTTAAAACACTGTTACAAAAAAATTAAAGTCAAAGCACCGTTTTCAGTGTAGATAAATGTAACATCATTATGGCAGTTATAGTGAACTCTGCTGCCTGTCACTGCATAAAACAATAGAAACAGACAGTTAAAACAGAGGTTAAGACACCTTTATCCTGAAGTTAGGTCGGAATTAAGGAGATTTAGTCTAGTTAGGATGTTTGTGTAATACTGTTTTCTTATCTGGAGTTAATGGATAAGATTATAAACTTAAAAACTGCTGTTCTAATAGCTTCTGTCCTAACTGAAGTCATCATGGTGACTAAGCAGATAAGATTTCAGACTTAAGAAGTTTCTGTAATACGGCCCCTGGTCTGTGTAGCTGTTGTATTTTGTCCATATCGTCCAGCCAAATGTGAATATGTTTGTGTTATTTCAGCCTGCCAGCTAAACTCATAAACGGCGGCATTGCCGGCCTGATCGGAGTCACCTGTGTTTTTCCCATCGATTTGGCCAAAACTCGACTTCAAAACCAGCAAAATGGGTCTCGACTGTACACCAGCATGTACGCGCACTAAATAACCATCAAAGATTGAACTTTAGTTTAAAACAGAGAAGTTTTATATATTTAACTTTATGTTTATGTGTTTTGGTCTACAGGTCTGACTGTCTCATCAAAACCGTCCGATCTGAGGGCTACTTTGGAATGTACAGAGGTACAGTGCCTTATAAGTGGTCAGTTTCTGACCACAAAGCCACTCTTGTCTGGACATTTTTGGGTGGTGGTCCACTCTCAACCTGGCAGTGATGCTGACACCACCGCTGTGTTTGATACACTCGTACCAGCCCCACACACACTACCATGTCAGTGTCACTGCTGTGCTGAGAATGGTAACTGACCAATGATGAATGAGGTAGAGGGGCTGATAAACTGTACAGCAATAGATAAACCACAGTCTGTAAGTGAACACACTAAAGATTCATTCTGTCAACTTGAGACACGTTTAGGACTTTTAACAGACAATCTTTTTGTTTTGAGTGAAGCTACACTCTTAAAAAAAGATGGTTCTTCAAGGGTTCTTCAATGGTTCTATATAGACCTGTGAGCAATTTGCATGCTTAAATGGTTCTTTACATGGTGAAATTGTTCTTTAGATTGATGGAGAATGTGCTGTAGATGGTTCTATATAGAACTTTTTTTGAAAATGGTTCTATGTAGCACCAAAAATGATTCTTCTACTGTTGCAAGCTTGACATCATAACTACAGCAGAACTCTTTAACAAAAAGGTTTCATATAGAACCATATACAACACATTCTCCATCAAGCTAAAGAACCATTCTAAAGAATTCTAAAGAATTTCACCATGTAAAGAACCATTTAAGCATGCTAATGGTTCTTTGAGTGTTTGTGGTTCTATATAGAACCATTGTTTTTACTGCAGAACGTTTACTCATCAAGCCGCTCCGTGTTCGAAGAGGTTTCGAACGAAACGGCCGAACGCGGCCGGAGGAGACCGGGGCTGCAGCGTCAGAGAACAGTTTAAAGAATCCGAGGACACGAACCAAAGAATAACGTGCCCTTTTTACGGCGAACTCGAACACATTGTGGGTGATGAGTCCAGCTGTCAACCACTGGAACTTTATACTCGCTCATGTGATGCTGGCGAAGACAAAACTGAAAGCTGCGGGAGCAACTGGCGTTTGCTGGCCGTCATGACTGTTTACCTCTGGATGAGCCGCCACGTGAAGCACTGTTCTTTTGCGCATGCGGGTCGGTTTAGGAGCTGATCCGTTCAGATTAATGTCGCATACGGATCACATTTAAAAGATAATGTGAACAGCCAAACAAAAAAATTGGATTTAGTGAGAAAATCAGATTTGGGCCACTTTTACCTGCTATGTAAACGTAGCCTTTGACCCCGTTTTCACCTCGTCACTTCATGTGTCTTGAATCTGGATTGTATCCTGAGATTTTAGCCACATGCATTTAGTTAAATGCGTCTCCTGTCAGTCGGACTGAAATCTGATTGCTGAGTGGGATGGAATATGCAAATCAGCTCGTTACGTGGCAACCAATTACCAACTGTTTATCTGTTCAGCCGCTTCGTCTAGTTTGTTTTGCACAGTTGTGTCTATCGATGCTGCTATTAAGCATTTCGTTACATTCCCAACCGTGTAAGTCCTCCTGATCATCTTCCTCACAGACACAGATCACGTGACCAGTGACATACTGTGTGAGGAGGAGTTTCAGCTGTAGTGGGAGGAGTTTCTGCTGTACTGGGAGGGGTTTTGGTTGTACTGGGAGTGGTTTTGGTTGTACTGGGAGGAGCTTTGGCTGTACTGGGAGGAGCTTCGGTTGTACTGGGAGGAGTTTCAGTTGTACTAGTAGGAATTTTGGTTGTACTGGGAGGAGGTTCAGTTGTACTGGGAGGAGTTTCAGTTGTACTGGGAGAAGTTTTTGTTGTACTGGGGGTGTTCTGTTGTACTGGAAGTTTCAGTGATCAGATTTGTATCTGTTTTAAATGTGTCTTGGGTGCCTTTACACTTGCATTTTTATGTGGTTTGGCCTCATCCAGATATAATCCTGATACTCAAGATGCATGAAGTGACCAGGTGAGAACAGGTTATTTGTGTTTTGTTAGCGACATAACGTGGGACAGCATTTTCTTGAATAAAGATATTTTATTTAAAAATTAAACTCAAGATAAATCTAAATCTTTCAACTGCACTTTAAAACAAATAAAAAAGATTTTAAAGAAAACAACATATGCAAAAAATGCAAGTATTATTTTCACAAGTGTAAATTTAGAGGTTTGGGTTTGGGACAGACACCTCCAAGAGGAAGTAGCCTATAAATGATGATTTTTTTATATATTTAGCTTATTACTATCTCTATTAATTTATTGTATTTAAACATCATAATATAATACAATATAATATAATATCGAAGGTCTGAGTTTTTAAAATAGTTTTTACAGTGGGACTGCAGTTTGAATAATTTGGAAGGATGGTCAATACAGTGGACTTAAAATGTGGCCAGATCATGTGAAGGTCTTGGTTCTTGGTTAAAGTTCTTGTCTTTTTCTCTGCTGTAGGTGCTGCAGTTAATCTCACACTCGTTACTCCAGAAAAAGCCATCAAACTCGCTGCCAATGACTTCTTTAGATATCATCTCTCCACAGACGGGTAAGAGAAGCTCATTAAGCCGTTATCGATCAGTTGGCTTTACAAAGAGAATCCAAACATTTTTGGATGAGATTCCTCAGCTTTAGCTTGAGGACTGGAACACTGCAAAAACATCTGAGTCCTTGCAATGAAAAACAATATTATAGTATTATACTTTGTAAGGAATCTCCAGTATCTGTGACATTTTTTGTTAAAATCAATTAAGGATGGTATGGTGTTGTTTAATGCCCAGTATTTAAAACTAAGGGATGCTTAAACATAAATAAAGCATAGTCTGGCCTTTTACTCTTAACGATTGTACAAAATAAAATAGAAAAGAAAATAATCAATGATCAAAAAAGGGTGGAATGGTTAATCATCACTGATGCTGGTATTTGTGGTCAGTATAAAACCTGCCTGAGGAACAGCAGTCGGCCTTCCTGCCTTTCCCCCAGCGCTGTGCATGGAGGACAGAGCTGTGATAACTCAGCTCTTTTAATCTGTTTTGTTTTGTAAGTGTGCTTTGGAGGCAGGTGGTCTAGCTGATAAGCCCCCCATAAACCCTGTTTATATCTGAAACGTCCACTGTCGCACATCTGAACTTACTTTTACTACAAAATAGCCTCTCCCTCTCTCTCTCTCTCTCTCTCTCTCTCTCTCTCTTCTATTTCTCTCAAACACACTTTTTCTCTTCTTTTCTCGCTCCTTATCTCTCCTTTTACTTTCTCTTCTCCTCTCTCTTTTTCCTCTCTCCCATGTTTTGTTGTCTCTTTGTTGTTTCCTCTTCAACTTTTTTCTGTCTCTTTCTTTTCGTCCTTTTTCTCTCTCTTTCTTCTATGCTCTGTCTCTTTTTCCTCTTTCTTTCTCTCTCTCTTTCTTCTATTTCTCCCTCTTTTTCTCTCTTTTCCCTTCTATGCCTTTTTACCTACTCTCTCTCTCTTTTGTCTCTTTTGTTTTTCACTTTATCTCTATCCCTTTCCTCTCTCTTTCTCTCTCCCCCCTCCCTTTACTCTCTATGTTTCCCTCTCTCTTTGTCTCCCTTTTCTCTAGGTCTTTGTCTCCCTTTCCCCTCTTTCTCTCTCCCTTTCTTCTCTCTCTGTCTCCTTTTTGAGCGAGGGAGTGGGGAGTGAAGGAGTGCGTGAGCGAGTGAGTGAGCAATATGAGAAAAAGAGCAAGGGAGTGAGGGAGTGAGTGAGCGTGGGCGTGAGCGAGTGAGTGAGTGAGTGAGTGAGTGAGGGAGCAGGAAAACAAGTAAGTTATAAGTCTGCTGCATGATGTGTTTCACACTTACAAATACATTGTGTTTTCTCTCTCTCTCTCTCTCTCTCTCTCTCTCTCTCTCTCTCTCTCTCAGAAAGAAGCTGTCATTGTTGAGGGAAATGATAGCTGGATGTGGAGCCGGCACCTGCCAGGTTCATGTGTCCTCTGTTGTGTTCTTTTAAAGAATATCCAATGCTCATCATCTCTGTCTCCTCAATGATTCCAGCTGTTTGAACTTCTCTAATCTCACATATCTATTTCACCTGCTTGTCCTTTGCTATCAGACTTTATTGCCTTTGCTAATCTTGCATGATATAGAATGCTCTACAAAGTCAGCGTTTAACTTTAAAAGCAGGTTCTGGGAGCTAAACTGTTCTGGGCTTGTTGGGCCTGGCAGGTGAACAGTGTGTGGATGCTGGTGTTTTTGCGTGCAGGTGATTGTGACCACACCGATGGAGATGCTGAAGATCCAGCTGCAGGATGCAGGACGGATAAGTGAGCAGCATTAAAGCCTTCCTCCATTCTCTCCTCCACAATGACTTAAACTAACAGTCCAGTGAAAAATCAAAAATACATAAATTTGTAGGCATGTTTGGTGTTTGAAGTTTGCTTTTTTTTAGTTTTGCACTGAAGCTATGAGGCTAATGAAGCTAACAATACTTAATAAGGAAGCTTAAACTCCACCAATCAGGATTGTGCAGACTGCAGGCCTTAATCATCACATCACACAGCAGCGTGTCATACAGAGTCAGAAACCACATAAACAAGCATTTAAGTTGTTTCTGCCAATGTGTGCATTAGACGCCCAGAGGAAGCTGATTGGTGAGGCTGCAGTTGGGGATGGAGCTGTTGGGGGTCGTTTAGAGGTCAGGAACCTTACCGGCCTGCAGATCACTAAAGAGCTGCTGAGGAGTCGAGGAATATCAGGACTGTACAAAGGCCTCGGGGCCACACTGCTGAGGTACGAGTGAGTGAGTGAGTGAGTGAGTGATGGAGTGAGAGAGTGAGCAAATGAGTGAAGGAGGGAGCAAGGTAGAGAGGAGGTGAGTGAGCGAGCGAGTGAATGAGTGTGCAAAGGAGGGAGTGAGTAAGCAAGTGAGGGAGTGTGGGGTGAGGTAGTGAGTGAGGGGGTGAATGAGTGAGTGTGAAAGGGAAGGAGCCAGTGAGTGAGGAGGTGAGTGAGTAAGCAAATGAGAGAGCAAGGGAGGGAGCGAGTAAGTGAGTGAGGAAGTGAAGATGTAAGCAAATGAGTGAGAGTGGGAGCAAGCGAGTGAGGGAGTAAGTGAGTGAGCAAATGAGTTAAGAAGGGAGCAAGGTAGTGAGGAGGTGAGTGAGTGAGCGAATGAGTGTGCAAGGGAGCAAGTGAGTAAGTAAGCAATGGAGTGAGGGGGTGAGTGAGCAGCCAAGTAGGTGAGTGAGAAAGGGAGGGAGTGAGTGAGTGAGGGAGTAAGTAAGGAAGCAAGGGAGTGAGGAAGCAAGTAAGTGAGGGAGCAAGCAAGTGAGTGAGGAGGTGAGTAAGTGAGCAATTGAGAGAGCAAGAGAGGGAGCGAGTAAGTGAGCGAGGAAGTGAGGAGGTAAGTGAGTGAGTGAGAGTGGAAGTAAGGGAGTGAGTGAGTGAGCAAGTGAATGAGTGAGTGAGCAAATGAGTGAGGGTTCAAATGAGTGAGTGAGTGAGTGAGTGAGTGAGGAAGTGAATGAGAGAAGGAGTGAGTGAACAAGTAACTTATAAGTCCACTGCATGATGTGCTTCACACTTAGAAATGCTGTGTTCTCTCTCTCTCTCTCTCTCTCTCTCTCTCTCTCTCTCTCTCTCTCTCTCTCTCTCTCTCTCTCTCTCTGTGTCAGGGATGTGCCTTTTTCCATCATCTACTTCCCCCTGTTTGCTAATTTGAATGATTTGGGGAAGGGGGGTGTTGAGGGTCCTGCTCCGTTTTACTGCTCCTTCCTGTCCGGATGCCTGGCTGGAAGTACAGCAGCTGTGGCTGTGAACCCAGTGGATGGTAAAAACTCCTGCATCTGCTCAGTCCATCCGGTCTGCACACATTCCAGGGAGAAAGAGTAACTGTACAGATTAAATTCAGTGTAAATATAGATAATGAGCATGTATAAATCTGGGTTCAGATACTACGGCCATACGATATGGACATAAAATGTGATGTTTGATAAAGCTGACGGACGTCACGATGACTGTATGAGAAGCATTAAACTGTGTTTAAAAGGGACCTATTATGCTCATTTACAGTGTTCATAATTTTATTTTTTGAGGTATACTAGAATAGACTTACATGCTTTAATGTTTCCAAAACACATTATTTTTCTCATACTGTACATCTCTATTCACCCTCTGTCTGAAACACTCTGTTAGAGCTCCTGTGTCTTTAAGCCCTGCCTCCCAATGAGCCTAGAGTGCTCTGGTTGGTAACTTGGGGACTCTGTTCTGACTGGTCAACTGCTAGAGTGGCATCATGCTACAAGTTCTGCCTCCACACCGCTGTGGCTGTTTCTCCAGCAGCGTCGGTTCTGCTGTATCAGTTTGAGTCCGATCCTGAAAGTTAGGTAGAACAAGTTGGCAGAGCTTCGTGAGCTGGACTAGAGCAGGACCAGTTACTAACCAGAGCACTATAGGCTCATATTGTAGCTTTTATTTTTTGCTGTTTGTGCATTGTGAGAGGGTGTGCCAAGCTTGCTGGTAGGTGGGCAGTTAGGATTGTGTTATGAATGATGTCACCTTGTAACAGATAAAAGGGCTGGAATTCCAATGAGGCGTTTCAGGCAGCTGAGAAAAGCGGTTTCTGTGGGAGAGAGTTTCTTACTCTGACATGAACTGTTGAGTTTTATAACTTTGCAGACCATTTACATGCACAAAAAGCTACATAACAAACTAAAGGTAAGGGATCAGAAAAGCATAATAGGTCCCCTTTAAAACTGTGTGCCCCTTTAAGCAAATAGGTAAAAAATGCAATACAAAAAAAACACAATCCACCATTGTGCAAAATAAAAATAATTAAATACTAATAGCTACTAATAGCTACTAGCTACTAATCAGAATTGGAGGCACATTTTTGGTGCCATAAAACAAAAACAAATATACAAATGGAATAAATAAACTTATATTTAATTTATTAAGAAAGCTTATAGTGATGCACGTTTGTTGTAACAATAGCCATTACAGTGTCACACATTTTACAATAAACAGTGAGAAACATCATTGATTCGTAATTACGTCACTCTGGCGCTGCACATATGAGGTCATTTGATTCGTTCAGTAGAACATCTCTTAACAAAGTATTTATTACAGAAACTCACATTGTGATAATCATGAAAATACAGTTTAGCTTGCAGCCCTACAAGAAACACATGCTATTATGTTTTAATATTAGCAGAAAGACTATCCCGACCATCCTATTATTATTTAGGTGTGTGAATTAACTATATGTGTTTTATACTATTACTTATGGACATATACTACACATTATATAATATACCATTATTTTCATTTGGTATCAAGGTGAATTAATGTGTGTTTTGTTGCAGTTGTAAAGACAAGGTTACAGTCTCTGACCCGCGGGAGTCAGGAGGACACTTACAGTGGAGTGACTGACTGTATCAGGTAACATCTGCTTATTCTTTCCTGTTAGTGCCTTTCTCTGTTTTTCACTTCTCTGCTCCCTGTTCTAATTTACAATTCTCTCACTTCTCTCTCTCTCTTTCAGTAAAATCCTGAGGAATGAGGGTCCTTCAGCCTTCCTGAAGGGGGCATACTGCCGGGCGCTGGTCATCGCCCCTCTGTTCGGGATTGCTCAGGTGGTTTATTTCCTCGGGGTGGGAGAGTTCATCCTCAGCATCCTGCCTGGAGCACGGCACTGAGGCTCAATTTGGACTGCATCACTGATCTGGCCTGCTGTAGATCTCCCCTGTGGTTCTTCATGCCTTATAGCAGAACCAGCAGACCAGCATTGAACTGAAGCCTCAAGCAGCAGAATGAATTCAGTAGTGGTGAATAGGGACTATTAGAGCTTTCACTTTTAGTCATACACAGATCTGGATCATCTCATGAGAGACCTAATACTTCAACAGAGTAAATGATGCCCATTTCCAAAGCCAAATATAAAGAAAAATGTTGCATTGTCCTTGTTGGCAGTGATCTGTGAACTGTCTACTTCCATGCATAAAGTCATCAGAACTATAAATGAAAAAAAAAACCATTTCCATTCCCACCATGGCAGTATGCTTTTAGCTTAGGATGTTTGACAGTTTGAGTTTTTAAGTTTGATGCTTTTTGCCTTCTTTATTATGGACATTTCAGCTGTCAGATTTTAATATGTTGTCTTCATTGGGGTAAATGATTTGCTTGTCAAGAGTGGGCACAAGCTTTATAGGGAAGTGTTGCATTGGTCGTTGGATTTGTGTTAACCTGAGCTCTCGTTACTGTGGGCGTAATCTTGCTATTGTTTTGTCTCGATTGGAAAAAATATGTATGACCAAAACAGATGTGCCTAGCACTGCATTAAGCACACTACACAAAGAAAACATGGTTCTTCATGGGTTCTTTAGTAAAGACACTCAAAGAACTATCTCTATGATTATATTCAGATTGATGGAGAATGCATTGTATAGCACCAAAAAGATTCTGCTGTTGTTGAAAGGTCAAGTGTGTTTTGGCACGTTGTAGAACCATTTTCAAAAAGGTTCTGTATAGAACTATATAGTACCTTTCTAAATAGAACACGTTCTCAAGCACCATCTCTCCATCAACCTGAAGAACCATCTCACTGTGCAAATAACCATTTAATTGGGTGGGGAGTTGTCCACAACACGTCATACAACTTTGCGTCTTAATGTCACACACAGGCCCAATCCCATTTCTTATTTTCTCCCCTACCCCTTGTTCCACCTTAAATGGAGCAGCAGTTACACTCTGGCGTGTCAGGCATCAGAACTGCTGGACTATTTAAGGTAGAATGGGAAATTTAGCTAGATAGTGAAACATCAGCGCATCACCAGCATTTTTTTTATGCTCGTCATGAAGAAAAGGACCATAATACATTGAATCGAGAATAAATTGACATAATACAATGGTCATTTTTTAACAGAGAAAATTCTCATTTTTGTGGCTTTCTTTGTGCGGCATCTTGCTGGTTTTTCTTTTTTTCTCATTACACTCTGTTTGGAGTGTGTCGCTGAAAAACCTCTGCTTGGAGGCCCTAACACTTCGCCCTACCCCTCTATCTTAGCAAGAATCGGGACATCCTACCTCTAGCGCAAAATGGAGGGCTCAGGGCTAAGTGGTAGGGGCAAGGGGGGAAATGGGATTGGGCCACAGCCTCAAAAAGAAAGGTCCAACTCAATGTTTAGATCTCAAAATCAACATTGTACTGATGAAAATGTGATGACAATAGTAGATAATTCACTCATATCCTCATGAAAGAGAGTTCTCCTTCAATCATCAGATTCATCCGCTCAGGGAAGGAGACCGAAGCACAACCCACATTACAAAATATTCTTCCAAAATAGGCTTTTAGTGCCTTGTTAGTTCATGTTCTTAGTCATTAAGCACGATTCATCAAACTGTAATGACTTTTGCATCACTTCTAAAGTGGCTTCTTATTTTTGATTACATCACGTGTTATAATTTTTTATACTTCAACTCCTTGACATCAACAGTGAACTTGTTGGATGATATATATTTTTTGTAATCTTTATAATAGTTTAAATCTTTCAAGAATCATGAATTACATCAGTTATTTAATGCATAATTCTAAGATAACACGTACACTAGTGAACATAGATGCCTGTTAAAAAAAACAGATGTTTACTGTACTTTATCAAATGGATGTGTATACAGTCCTTTGCAGATGTTTAAACACCAAAATTACACGTTTGTTTTTCTACATGAAAATAGGTTAACACATCCTCTACACAGAACTTAAGTATGGAATTTTTCTGCAACTTTTAGTGCACAGTTTAAAATGTGACAACTTTTGTACAGATAACATTGTATGTTTATTTTTTTCCTAATAAATTCAGCAAATAAACAGTAATCGGTCATTAATTTTATCTGGGATGCACAAAGCGATCAGGCATAACATTATGACAATCTCCTTGTTTCTACGCTCATTGTCCATTTTATCAGCTCCACTTACTATATAGGTGCACTTTGTAGTTCTATAATTACAGACTGTAGTCCATCTGTTTCTCTGCATACTTTGTTAGCCAACTTTTACCCTGTTCTTCAGTGGTCAGGACCCCCATGGACCCTCACAGAGCAGGTACTATTTGGATGGTGGATCATTCTCAGCACTGCAGTAACACTGACATGGTGGTGGTGTGTTAGTGTGTGTTGTGCTGGTATGAGTGGATCAGACACAGCAGTGCTGCTGGAGTTTTTAAACACTGTCCACTCACTGTCCACTCTATTAGACACTCCTACCTTGTCAGTCCACCTTGTAGATGTAAAGTTAGAGATGACAGATCATCTGCTGCTGCACAGTTTGTGTTGGTCACCCTCTAGTCCTTCATCAGTGGTCACAGGACGCTGCCCACAGGACGCTGTTGGCTGGATGTTTTTGGTTCTCAGTCCAGCAGCAACACTGAGATGTTTAAAAACACTATATGCTATATATTAGGTTAAAAAATGGCAACATATTTCTTTAATTTCCATTTGTCATAAAAAACAATGATTCATTTCTCATTTTAACTCATTTCTTTTTTAGTTAGGAGAAAATAAATGATGCTTAAACTGCACTGTCACAAATATCTCTTACATATTTATTGAATTTATTTGCCATATGCTGTGTTGATTTGTGCATTTATTGCTGTACAGTTAAATTTGCGACCTGCCACATTTGTTTGTGTAGTGACTGCCAGTGTGTGTAGACAGTCCTCCAGTTATTGTGATCTTTAACACACACTGTAGTGTGAATTCATGATTTCTTACCATCATCTCTCTCAGGAGATATACTTGCCCCCCCTCCATGTGAATGCATCAGGTAACCACAGCAACCGGACCACTAGCACTGTGTGTTTATGTACCAAAAAGCTAGTCATAATTCATTTCTACATTAGCGTTTCCCAAACTCTCTGCATCCCTTAATCAGGTTGTTTTTGTTACTGTCTATTTAAGACTGATATATGTAAATGAGTTTTGTTCTGATTGGCTGACCAGTATTGTACTTCATTCAAAAAGCAGCCTTCCCTCTTATAACGTCAGTGTGAGTGGGTGGGGCCAAACAGCTTTGGGCTGAACAGGTATGTAAAAGCATGTTGATTTTTGTGACATCACAAAAATAATGAATTCCAAATGGATTCTTACAAAGTAATACATTGAGAAATTAAACATGCAAATATAACAAACAACCAAGTTCAGCACAAATGCAGGAATAATCTGTACAAAATAAGGATCATTTTTCAGATCTACGTGGTAAAGGTCACTTTTCTGTGTGTTGCAGTACTGCAGTCTCTGCAGCAGAGGGCTCATGGCAACATGTTTTAATGCAGCATGATGAATCTCTCCTGTATTGATCCACTCATGCAGTGCACAGCTGTACAAACAATCAGCAATACTGCTGAAAGGCCTGGAACAATGCACTAATGCAACATTTGTAAAGCTCAGCCAATCCAGCATTGATTGATACATACATATTAATAGACTGCTATTAAGATCACTTTGTCACAGTAGTGGCTTACTTATGGCTGTATGACAGTTATTTATGTATTTCTGTATGTAATATCGGGATGTATAGGGGAAAAAAAGGGAGGCCAAATGGGTTCATGGAGGGAATGAAACTGCAGACCGTGTAGTTTGACGGGTGGAGAGAGAGTTATGATGGGTAAACTGAGAGAGGTAAACAGAGAGAGAGAGTGAGTGGAGGACATTAAAAGGAGAGCTAGACGTTCTCACAAATGCAAATGGAGACTTTATCACTGAGCACGTGATTATGAGTAGCTTCCTCACTTTCCGATTCACATTGCATTGTGGGACAACAGTGTTCATCAGCACTCTCGCCTGGTCCCAAACACTTTAACGTCACTAAAAGCTCCATCACAGACAGATGTTACAGGAAACGGTTGTGAATACGCTGCCTGATGACTGAGACTTTGTTTTATGATAGTTCTGAGGGGAGTAAAAATATATAGAATAAAATATAAGAAATAAATAACAATGTAAAGTACAAACTGAGTACATTTAAGAGGGAGAGAGAGAGAGAGAGAGAGAGAGAGAGAGAGAGAGTGAGTGATGGAGCCAAATACGTAACATGTCACCGCCTGAGAGACAGTGGGTAACACCCTCCATATCCCAACCTTATTAGCCCTGAACTTCCATACACCCACCCTACTGTCCCCCACCCTACTGACTCTCACCCCTCATATTCCCACCCTACTGTCCCCCACCCAACTCACCCTCTATACCTCCATCCTACTCTCTCTCTTTCTCTCTTACTCTTTCTCTCTTTCTGTTTCTTTCTCTCTCCTCTTTTTCTCTCTGTTTCTTTCCTCTCTCTCCTCTCTTTTTCTCACTCTTTCTTTCTCTTTTGTTTGTTTCTCTCTATGTTTCTTTCTCTCTCTCTGCTCTCTCTCTTTCTCTCGCTCTGTTTCTTTCTCTCTCTCACACTCTTTATCTCTCTCTCTCTTTCTCTCGCTCTGTTTCTTTCTCTCTCTCACACTCTTTATCTCTCTCTCTCTCTCTCTCTCTTTCTCTCTCTCTCTATATTACTGGGTTGACTGTAAGGATTACTAAATAGGGCTGGATGAGTTTAATGATGAGAGATAAAAGATTGATTATGTGCTTAAGTCATAATTACATGAGCTCTCTCTCTCTCTCTCTCTCTCTCTCTCTCTCTCTCTCTCTCTCTCTCTCTCTCTCGCTCTCTCTCTCTCTCTCTCTCTCTCTCTCTCTCGCTCTCTCTCTCTCTCTCTCTCTCTCTCTCTCCAGGTAATGGTGTAAAATGATGAATAGTCTCTCTTGTTCAGGTTGTGTGTATTTTGCTGCCTGTGTGGTTGAGTCATTATTTTCTCTGAGAAAGTAGGCCAATTTGTCTTTGTTTCTAATTTTAGGAGACTAAGAGAAGTGTTTCATCTCTCAATGTGGCCAACACTTTCTGAAAAATGTTTCTAAATGTGGACAGCCGGGGGGAAACTGGGAGATATTTATTATACATTATACAAAACATGAGCTGTCCTATGTATGTGAGCATTTCATGATGTATGGATCAATAGGAATGGTCCAAAATGACTTATATATGAACAGGGGTTCTCAGATTTTTTCACGGAGCGAAAAATAGCGGTTAAAAATAATTTGTGACCCCCTGGTAGACACCAAAACTGCCCCCATCAGATAAACAGCACTTAAAGCTTTCATCTTTGGAAAAGAAGAGAAAATCAGGCTGCTTCAGATCTGAAAACATTCACCATTCATTCAAGTTTTTCTGTCCATCCTTCCACTGTGGGAAGACAGCTCTATGGGTCTGAAAGGATGTACAGCTTTCAAAAAGCCACTCAGAGAACCAGTTGCATGTTTAAATAGTTCTTCGCATGGTGAAATCGTTCTTCAGACACATGGAGAATGTGTTGTGTATAGTTCTGTATAGAACCTTCTTCAGATTAATGGAGAATGTGTTGTAAATGGTTCTTTATAGCACCAAAGAGAGATCTGCTAATGTTACGATGTCAACCTTGTAACGAGAACCCTTTTTTGGTGCTATATAGAACCATTTTCAAAAAGGTTTGTGGTACACTCTTGAACAAGATGGGTCTTCAATGGTTCTTTGGCAAAGGGAAAGGTTCTATATCAAACCATGAACACTCATAGAACCATTTGCTTGAATGGTTCTGTGCATGGTGAAATTGTTCTTCAGATTGATGGAGAATGTGTTGCATATGGTTCTATATAGCACCAAAATATTCTATTCAAAATATTCAGGGTTCTGCTAGTGTTATAACAATAACAATATCAAGCTTTTAACAATAAAAGAACAATTTTATTGCTACATATAATTATTTTCAAAAAAGTTCTATATAGAACCATATACAACACATTCTCCATCAATCAGAAGAACCACCTCACCATGCAAGTGGTTCCTTGAATGTTCAAGGTTTTATATAGAAACATTGTTTTTACTTAAGAACCCTTGAAGGACCATCTTTTTTAAGAGTGTATGCTTTTAAACCTATATATGATTCTGTGAAGAACCTTTTTTAAAACTGGTTCTAAGTAGCACCGCTAAAGGTACTGATATTGTTACATACAAGATTTTTATACAACCCTTTTTTCCTAACAGTGTATATATATATATATATATATATATATATATAACCAGTGCTTTACTGAAGAACCCTTGAAGAACCCTTGTTTAAGGGTGAACACTGACAGTTGAGAGCATTTTTCCTCCTATAAACTCCCTGTTCTGTAGATGGGAGTTTTTGTTCTGATTTGAAGCTTCCCTGTAGCTGTAGCTCGTTATATAATGGCAGAAATGTCTGCGTAAGGCAGATATTTCATTTCAGAAAGACAGCAGGCAGCTTTATTCTTTGATATTGATACTAAACAGTGTGAGACTCAAACTGGAGGAAAATAACAAGTTCAGTCACCCTGCTTTCCCTCCTACACCAGCTTTAATGAGTTTATGTAACACCCTTTTCGGCCAAACAGAAACACTGAAAGCTCTCAGGACGGCCACTACACAGGCTAATCCCTCCACTGTACTGTGCTCTCCGAGGTAATGCTTGGAAAAAGACTGTAATTAATACTGTAATAAATTAATTATTAACTTAATTTAGCTTTGGATTTAACATAATTTTTCATTAAGGAGTCATTTTTCAAGGAAGGTACACGGATGCACATCCTACCCTGATATTTAGTGATGGTTTTGTATGTGAGTCCACTCTCTGCCTATCTATCTGTGAGCTATGCCGTCTGTTTATGTGGGAAGGAGAGGCTCCATGCTAAATAGCTCAGGTCAGAAGAAAACCAACACACAGGTTT